ACGCGCGCGCGGGCGCGCACACACACACACACACACACACACACACAGACGCGCGCGCGCGCGCGCACACACACACACACATACAACCGTACGTCCGCAGCTAATCCACCTCTGCCGTCGCAGATCTCGCCCCCGACATTCTAGGGCCGTTTCCTGGCGCGTCACACACCTGTTTGACTCTGATTCTCGGATGAGAACACTGCCGCCAGAGACGAGTTGAGAACCAACCAAGGATGGGTGGGAGCATGGACTGTTCCGGTTTCCCGCTCTTTCCGATCACTCTTTATTCTGGATATGAAGGGAAGGTACCCTTTGTCGTCGAAATTGTTTTCAGAAAAAAATGTAATTAGGTACCCTTTTTGGTCGACATTCTTTAGTTTTTGTTCTTATTCTCGAAAACCTATACAGATGCCATGTATCTCAAGGACGGTATCAATAAGCAGGTACGAGCAAGCCGTGGCCTTTCGGATTTATTTTAGGTCACATCCTCGCATGCAGTCGTTAACTTTCCGTTCAGGCGTATCAAGCGTGCTCCGCCAAATCTCGAGGTGACGATTAAGCAATCGAACAGAATCCATAGCTGTCTATACCTCTTGCCTAACTGATTAACTTATGTCGTCGATCTTAAGCGTATTGATTTATTTTGATGAATGGATTGAGTGATAGATAAATTCCCTTGTGTTCCGGTCCTCAGCCCTTAGCCCATGCGCACTCTTGCTTTTTTCCTTGCTCGACTCAGATGCGGTTGTATTTTCTTATTGTTTTTTTCTTTTCTTTTTGGTTTTGACTTTTTCTTGAATCTTATCTCGTTGAAAACTCATCCGTCTCCGTGTAATTTCATTGATTGACCGTAGACTCTTTTCCTTGCCTGACTGATTGAAACTTCCTCCTGTGAGCTTTTCTCGGGCCCTTTTCCGGCTACTCCTTCCTCCTCTTCTCCCTGCGTTGTTCGATCCTTTCATCGACCTCAGAAGTGTACAATTAAACTTTTCCCATTTTCAGAAGCAAGCAGGAAAGCAATTTAACTTTCAACCAACGAAGGATTGAAAAATTAATCAATAGATCAATCAGCCAATCAGTCAATACATCAATCACTTGATCAATCACCCAATCAGTCAATACATGAATCACTCGATCAATGAATCAATTAATCAATCCATCAATCCCTGAATAAATGAATTACTAACCAATCAGAGACAATCATTTAATCAATCAGTCCATCAATCCATCAATCAAATCCATCGATTATCCAATCCATCAATCCATCAATCAGTAAATTCATCGATCATTCAGTCCATCAATCCATCAATCAGTAAATCCATCGATCATCCAATCCATCAATCCATCCATCCATCAATGAATGGATCAGTTGATTGATCTAATCAATTAATTAATCAGTCAATCAGCCACATATGAAAATCGATCAATCAATCCGTCCACCAATCGATCAAATCAATGAATCAAATTGTAATCAATCAATCAGTCTGCCAAATCTGTCAGTCGATCAATCATTCATTCAATTTATTAGTCAATCAAGTAACAATCAATCAATCTACCATATTAAAAATGATTGAATCAATGGATCAATGAGTCAATCAACCATGTAGTTAATCTGACTAATCAGCCTATCAACCCGCGGGTCAGTAAGTAGAACGCTATTCATTGACCTGTTGTCGATTGATCAAATAATTAATCAATCAGTCAATCGACAATATTATCAATCGATGTATCACAGTGTCAATCAACCTATCAGTTCACGAATCAGTCAGTCGGACGATACTGATTGACCGGTTGTTGATTGATCAATCAAGCAACGCCCCACGTTGTTGAACCCCCAATGCATCGGTCTGTTCTGTGGCTGGTTGTGAAGCGGACCGTCGTTGCATTCACTATCCGCTGAGGAGCGGCGAATGACCTTCACGGACGAATTGCACAGCGCAGATGAATGGCCGTGGCCTACTCACGGTGTGGCTTCCCGCCTAGTCCTTTCACCTTAACACAGCCGGCACGGGGAACCTCGCCTCCAGAACAAGTTACACTGTATTTGACGAATGCGATAATGTTTTATTACGGATTGCTTCAGAAGTGGCATGTCGAGGAGGATACTGCGCCAGGCATATTTACGAGTACGTATTCGGGGAGCTGATTTTGAAGCAATGAATGCTGGGAGACAAGGTGGCGTGAGAGTGCTCTCTCTCTCTCTCCCTCTCTCTCCCTCTCTCTCTCTCTCTCTCTTTCTCTCTCTCTCTCTCTCTCTTTCGCTTTCTCTCTCGCCCCCGTCCGCCGCGTTTTTGTGTGTGTGTGCATGTGTGCGAGTGTGTGTGTGTGTGTGTTTGCGCACGTGTGCGAGCGTGTGTGTGTGTGTGTGTGTGTGTGTGTGTGTGTGTGTCTGTGCGTGTGNGTGTGTGTGTGTGTGTGTGTGTGTGTGTGTGTGTGTGTGTGTGTGTGAGAGAGAGAGAGAGAGAGAGAGAGAGAGAGAGAGAGAGAGAGAAAGACCAGACGCTCACGGTCTGACCTCTTTTTCTTCACCCGAGGCCACACGCACGCACACAGACACGTACACGCACACAGACACAGACGCACGCACACACACACATATACACGGAGAGAGAGAGAGAGAGAGAGAGATGATCTGTCGATAACTTGATGTATTTTTCAGCGCCTGTCGCTCCCAGCGCGGTTGGTCTCCATGGCTTCAACGATAATGATCAGTTTTGTCACCGCAGGTCCGCTTCCGCCGCTGTCGATATTCTTGGTGTTGCAATGGTGCATGCTCCCCGATGTGCGTTTCTGCTGCGGTCGAGTTTCCGATTCGGTATGCAGGGAGCCGAATTGTGGGAGAGAACCTGCATGGTACTGCAGCTGGACTCGACTAATTGTGTCGTTGGTGGCTTGATTACGTCCCTGGTTCAGGTTGGAAGAACGATTCACCTTCAGCCGTCTTGAAGCGGGAAGCGGCTGCTGTGATTCGCAGAGCTTTCTCGATGGTCAGCCTGTGCTCCAAGGTTGAAGGAAGAAAGAGGAAGATGGGGGGAACACGTCGAGGCTGGCTCTTCCGGCACATCAGCTGACAACAGCCGACAGCGACGTTAGTGATTCGAGAGTATAAATCAAAACTATCTCAACAGCCGACAGCGACGTTAGTGATTCGAGAGTATAAATCAAAACTATCTCAACAGCCGACAGCGACGTTAGTGATTCGAGAGTAGAGATCAAAACTATCTTTTAGAGAGAGGAGGCAATGCTCAAAGTAGAAGCATCGGGAGGACCACGGAAGCAGTGTGAACTATGTGGCGGTACATGACACGAGCGGTAGAGTTGTTCTTAGCAAAAGGTAGTGGACCAGTGTTTTTTGTCTTTTCCTTTCCTCTGTTGGAGCAGGAGATGGAGTACTGGGAGGAGGGAAGTGAACAGGTAGAAGAATTAGAGTATAGTCAGCATTAATCACCGTGGGCAGTGCCTTACTGGGGCCGTATTTTCCCGGACCGAGGATATGAAACGGAGAGGGGGAACTGAGAGCGAGGGACGGGAATTAGGAGTAAGATCCGAGTTGTGCTCGCAGTTGGCAAAGAAAGGACCTGTAGCAGCTTGCAAAGGAACGGATTCTGAATTGGCAAATACTTCAGTAGACCATGATGCAAGCGATCAAGCGAGTGACGAAAGCAATGGCAGGAAGCGAAGGCGCGAGAAGAAAGACAATGGCTGGACAGCTGGGGCATTCGCAATCAAGTAGCTTTGGGAATGATCTCCATACGTCCTCATCCTCGCTGGAGGCGGATTCCGACCAGATGGTCCACGCTAACGCGCAACGTTGGTTAGGGATTGATCTCGGTACTTCTTCTTGCCGGGTGGCCTTGTATTGCGATGGGAAAGTCCAGGTCATACCGGACGTGTCCGGGAAACGCTCGAGACCATCTGTTGTCGCATTCACGGACAAGAAGCGTTTGATGGGAGAACAAGCACAGAAACAAGTGCTGAAGAAGCCGGAGAACCTACTTTACGAGGTGAAACGCCTTATCGGACGGGATTACGGATCGATCAGTGAGGAGGAGAAGAAATGGTGGTCGTTCACCGTCGTTATAGGGGAACTCGGCGAGGCGTTGCTGGAGGTGAAGACTGAAGTGTTATCCTCTTTGATGAGCAACCGTGGGCACCATGTCAGGGGAAGAAATAAAAGGCAGCTGCCGCAGAAAGAGGTCTCTAATTTGGAAAGGCAGGAAACGGGGGCTTGTACGCAGGATGACGGCAAGAGGCGCCTGGCGCCCGAGCAGGTTCTAGGGATGTTTCTAGCGAAGATGAAGAGTGATGCCGAGACATTTTTCAACTGCAAAGAGCTGGACGCGGCAGTCATTACCGTTCCGGCACTCTACTGCTCTAGGCAGCGATCAGCGACCAAAATGGCGGCCGAGATCGCAGGTTTTAAAAACGTACAACTAGTCAGTGAGTCGACGGCGGCAGCCCTGTGCTACGCCCAGCGCACGGGATTAATCTCCTTGGCCTCCCACGGTGTTACTCCTGAAGCACCAACTCAACGCGGCACAAAGATGCTTGTGTTTGCGCTGGGCGGAGGAAGCTTTGAAGTTGCCCTAGTTACGATCAGCGGCGGCCTGCTCACCATCGACTCAGTGGAAGGCAATCCAGGACTTGGGGGCATGGACTTCGACCACAAGATAATGGAGCTGATTCTCGGTGGCGGGCCAGAGCCGTCTCGTCAAGATCCCGCTATGAGAGGCAACAACTTGCAGGGGCTGAAGACAGCGAGCGAAAAAGCGAAGATGGATCTGTCTTTGTTTAACGACGCGCAGGTTGAGGTTGAGAGCTTTTCCGGCGATGATGTTTGTAAGGTGATCATCCGCCGCCTTGATTTTGATGAAAAGTCTAAGAGTTTGCTGGCGCAGTGCATGATATGTGTCCAAGGAGTCTTAGAGGAAACCGGCACTCGGATTTCCGATGTGAAGGAAGTTGTGTTGGTGGGTGGGTCGGCACGAATTGCCAGCGTCATTGAAATGCTAGGGAATTACTTTGGCGGGGAGCCAAAGTCTCACCCTTATCAAGACGAAGCCGTTGTGCGCGGCGCAGCGCTGTTTGCTGATTACAGTCATCAGATTGAAGAGAGACATCCCTTGCACGTCGCGTATTACAACAGAAGAGACGGGAGTTACCGCCCTCTCAGACAGTGCAAGAGGTCGGCTCGCTACAATTTGCCAGCTCTCGATTTTTGGTGGAAAGATTCAAGTTGTCAGCTGTGTCTATATCTATTCGAGTGGAGAAAAGATTATAAAGATTATATATCAGCTGGCAAAATAGTGCTGCAGGCAGAGCAGTATAGCGTTCTCCCGAAGCTCTGGATAGACCGATGCGGGATTCTATGCCTTGACCAGCGACAGGCGTCAGTGGATGCTGTGCTCCACAAAGCATGGCAGCCATCCGCGGAGGTGGTCGACAATTGGAAGCACTTCGCAGAGGAGCTGGCTATGTACGACAAAAGAGTCGCAGAGATGGGCAGCGCAAGGAACGAATGGATGAGTTATATAAACGAAGTCGACAAGCGAGAGTCGTCATGCCCACGCTGGCTGTGGAGCACTATGTCAGAATGGAAGCATGACATCGAGCGATGGTTTTGCAATGAGGCGGCAGTTGGCGGGAACGACATGGAGCAATTTGCCGCTCAGTTTAAGGACTTCAGAGGGGCTTGCCAATTTGCGTTCGGAAATCTGTGGGAAAGATCGCTATTGGGAAGGAACTTCTTAGTGGTGGACTGCTGGGAGTCCAAAGATGTTGACCTCTGCCTTGAGAATCTGAAGAACAGGAAGCCAGATCTTGGTAACGTGGTCGTCTCCATGCCGGTCAGGGAGCTTTGGAAGATCAAGTATCCGAACGCACAAATGCGAGGTATCAGTTTCGCGGCAGATTCCTTTTCCTCTGGTGCTCATGTGGACATCGTCATTGAGAGCGAGATCCCTTACGTGGTACTTTCAGCAGGTCCTGTGCGATCGGACGATCGTGGACGTCTCTCGTCGCAGTCGAACAAGGTCCTTGGCGAGCAGGTGTCGAAAGCTGTGCAAGCCGGTCTTCGGGTCGTGTTGCGCGTTGGACGAGGTGATTCCCGGGACAGGCAAAACAGTAATCTGTCTTCTGAACTTGACGAGGATAAGCGTTACTGTGAAGAGCAACTCAGGGATGTCGTCGGTCCGATTGCCCCCGATTGGCGAAACATAGTTATCGCTTATGGGCCTCCACGGCATGTGTCTTGTACGTCGCTATATCCCAAGGTCTCTGCTGTGCTGCCTCAGAGTCATGTTCTCGATACGGTTCAACACATAAAAAAGGTGATCGAGGAGTTGGTGAATACCGAAGCGGCTGACACGACGCGCATCCTTATTGGCGGATCTGTAGCATTCGAGATGTGGGATGCCCTCATCAAGCAGGACGAGATTGACGGTTTTCTTTTTGATGGGGGGTTCCGAGACCCCCTCCTCGTCGACAAACTCGACCATCGTCATCAAGAGAGGACGGGCAAAGTCTTGCTTTGCCGCGTGGCAGACGGAAATGCCACTCTGCACCAGCATACTATAGAGCGGGTCAGCAGGGACCTGATTGCTGGAGAAGAGGTGGTCTGGATAACTATGGAGAACGTCGTCATTGAATATCAAGAAGTCGATGGCGAGGACGCTGTTGGCTTCGCTGCGATGCCTCCGGTGGAAGGTGCTATTATCAAAGACGATTCCCCTATTATCAAAGACGATTCCCGAAAGGAAAACGACCGGCGTAAGGTGAAGATCATCATTATTTCTGACGGTCACAATAGAGAGGAGCTAGAAGCGGTCATAAAGAAGCAGCTTTTAACGTGGAGAAAGGAGCTGAAGCGAGCCGATCGTGAAGGAGAGGGGGTTGTTGTCGAGTACAGGCCTGCGCTAAGTCTGCACACGCCATGTAATCTTTGCGCGGACGTCGAGACGGCTCACGCCCGCATCAGAAGGTGGATTTTGACGAACATCAGCCCCGACATGGCACAAGCGGTGCGTATCGTTTGTTTCCTTGACGAGCTGCCACCAGAAACACACAGCGAAATCACGAAGCAACCCAACGTGGACGGTGTTAGCCTGCGAATCGACTTGCCTGGAAATTCGCTACCTAACACAGTACAGAACGCCGAGTGCGGAATTGCAGATACAAACAGGGCGAGTAACGATTGGAAGAAGTACATCACCGAAGTGAACAAGCGAAGGTTTTCATGCCCTCGCTGGCTGTTGAATATCATATCGGAAATGGAGGGTGACATGGAGGGATGCCTTGGCAACAAGGGGGTCGAGATCGACCAGTTTTTGGCGCGGTTTCGCGCCTTCCAAAGGGCGTGCGAATATGCCTTTGGACACTTGTGGGTGAGATCATTGTCGGAAAGGAGGGTCTTAGTGGTCGACTGCTGGGAATCAAACGATGTGGACGAGTGCTTGAAGAATCTTCGGTTGAACCAAAGTCGAGATTCCTTTGACTTGGTCGTCTGCATGCCGCTCAAGGATCCTCGCAAGGCAAAGGGAATTATGGCAGACATCGAGCGAATCGAATTTGCGGCACCCGGACTTTCTCCGGGAGTCATTTGCTATTCTGCAACGAATAGAGATATTTCCTGCGTTCTGCTCGAGGCAGAGCCACCCGATTCTGGCTGGAACGGGATGGTTCGTGAGCAAGTTTTACTAGCTGTGCGAGCTGGTCATCGGGTTGTACTGCGGCTTAGAAGAGACGATGCTCAAGACGAGACTTATGAGCTGGGGGAGGAGAAGCGTCGATGCGAAGCGCAAATTAGGGACGTCGTCGGTCGGATTGGACAGGAATGGCAAAAGATAGTTATCGCTTACGTGCCTCCACCGCTGGAGAGAGGCGTAGCTCCACTGCATCACCTAGTAGATATTGCTCGGCACATACGAAAGGTGATTAGGAGCTTGGCAAACGAAGCGGCCGACGGGACGTGTGTCCTTATCGGCGGATGCACTACGCCGGAGATGTGGGATGCCGTCATCAGGCAGAATGAGATTGACGGCTTTCTTTGCGAAGGCGGGTTCCGAGACCCTCAACTGGTCGCCAAACTCGATCAGCCCTGTCGGGAGAGAAAGGGTAAGGTCTTACTGGTCTCCACCGAAAGCGGAGATGCCAATCTCGCCAGCCATAACATAGAGTGGCTACGTGAAGTCAGCAGGGAGCTGATGCCTGGAGAAGAGGTCGTCTTGATAACCGTCAAGTATGGGGGAACTGAAAATTCAAGAGCGGTTGCCGACGAAGGGCATGGCTCCGTTGATAAGTCAGGGAAGGAGGGAACTGTCATTGAAGGCGACTTCCGGAAGGGAATTAGCCGGCGTAAGGTGAAGATCATCCCCATTTTTTCTGACGGCCACCTTAGAGACAAACTAGCAGACAGCATAGTGAAGCAGCTTTCAGGTTGGCGCGAGGAGCTGAAACGAACTAATATCGACGAGCATTTTATTGTCGAGTACAGGCCTGCGCTAAGTGAGAACAAACATGACGATCTTTGTTCCGCCATCGAGACAGCTCACTCCCGCATCAGAGGTTGGATACTGACAGAAATCAGCTCCCAGATGGCAGAAGCGGTGCGTATCGTTTGCCACCTTGACAAGCTGCCGCCAGAAGTGCACAGGGAAATCACTAAGCAACCCAACGTGGACGGCATAGCTCTGCGACTTGAATTGGCGGGAAGTTTGCGAGTGAATGGACCGCAGCTTGCCGAGCGGAGCCCAACGAAACAATGGAGCATGTACATAGACGAGGTGGAGAAGCAAGAATCTTCATGCCCGCCCTGGCTGTGGAGTATTGTGTCGGAATGGAAGCGTGACATCAAACAATGGCTTGCAAATGGGGTGGAAGGTGGTTGTATCGGGATCCCGGAATCCGCAAGGCGGCTTAGCGAATTCCGAAGGGCGTGCGAAAATGCATTCGGCTCCATGTGGGCGAGATCGATGTCGGGAAGGAAGTTCTTGGTGGTCGACTGCTGGGAGGCCATCGATATTGACCAATGCTTGCAGAATCTTCTGGCGAGCCGGGGCCGGGATTTCTGCGACGTGGTAATCTCCATCCCGCTCAAGGAGCTTCGCAAGACGAAGGAGCGTATCGCAAAACTAGAGGGAATCCAACTAGCGGCACCGTGCCTTTCGCCCAGGGCCATTTTCAAGACCTTGTCAAAGAGTGGGATTCCTTACGTCCTGCTCGAGGCAGGACCGGCCGTAATGGGTTCTGGCGATCCGAAGCAGCTGTGCTCGGCGTTAAACAAGATTGTCGGCGAACAGGTGTCAGTAGCTGTGAAAGCTGGTCTTCAGGTGGTGTTGCGCCTTGGACGAGATAACAGTGATGATTTAGAAGACAGTAGTGAACCTTTCGAACTCAGTCTGGAGGAGGAGAAGAGCCATTGCGAAGCGCAACTCAGGGACATTGTCAGTCGCATTGGCAAGGATGTCGGAAACATAGCTATTGCTTATCTGCCTCCACCTTTGGCAGCCGAAGCAGCGACCGAAGCAGCAACCGAAGCAGCAACCGAAGCGAAGGCAATGAGGTTGCCGCAGTGTCATGTTGTTGAAACGGCTCGGCACATGAGACATGTGATTAAGGAGTTGGTGGGTGCTGAAGTGGCCAACGCAACTCGCATCCTTACGGGCGGATGCAGGAAGATGGAGGTGGACACCTGGGATGCCCTCATACATCCGCAGCATAAAATAGACGGCTTTCTTTTCCAGGCGGGGCTCCGAGACCCTCTCCTATTCGACAAACTCCTCCGTGAAGCGGGGCCAAGCACAAAGATTCGCCAGGAAAGAAAGGGCAAAGTGTTGGTTTGTGGAGGGCAAGACGACAATCTGACCTTTAGTGAGTATGACGTGATCTGGCTGAGCACCATCACAGAGAAGTTGATGGGCGAAGAAGACGTCGTCTGGATAACGGCCAAGTATGTACCAACGTTGGCGATGAGTTCAGAAAACAACATGATTAGAGAAATCCACGGCTCGTACGCACTGCATTTGAAGGAGGGTCATGTCATGACTGACTACCGCAGAGACGTCGAAGACACGTGCAAGGTAAAAATCGTCCCCATTTTCGGGTCACACAACAAAAACCGTGGAACTGAACAAGCAGAGTCGCTATCCACGCAGCTGTCTGCATTGAGGGGGAAGCTGGCGGGAGGAGCTGACAGTGCAGAATGGGCACAACTTCTTCTTGAGTACAGGCCTGGAGATGGTGTGAGCAGCGAGCATTCTCTTATCGAGGATGTGGAGAGAGCGCATGTCCTCATGAGAAGATGGGTTTTGTCCAACCTCGGCTCAGTGGCAGTACAGGAGGTACGCATTGTATGCTTCCTTGAAGAGGGACTGGCGTCCGACACGCGTCGACAAGTCGCTCAACTGCCCAATGTAGATGGGGTAAGCCTGCGGCTTTCCGATCGGCAAACAATCAGTCGGGCCGGTCTTGCGGCCTAGATGCAGAGTGGATTGCTCTCTTTCGCGTTTTTTTTGTCGTTTCAAATTTGAATTAAGGGACCTACATTTTTTTCTTCTATTTTGTGTCCCATGGACCACAGATCAGATACTAAACTGTTTTTTTTCTCGTTTCAAATTTGAATTAAGGGACGTTCATTTTTTCCTTCTTTTTTGTGTCCCATGGACCACAGATCAGATACTAAACTGTTCAGAACAGATTAACCAAAAGGCCGAGAAAGGGGTTCTCGTACCCTGGCATTACATGTAATGAAGATTGATGCAGAGATTTTTTTCTTCTCTTTTTCTCTCCAGTATTCGGACCTGGGTCTTTATTTCAACAGTTCATGGGTGTACTGAGCTGTTGTTGTTTTTCTCTTTTCTGGTAAGGCTCGCCAAGTGGCATTCAGGAGGTCGTGCGTTCAATCCCCATTGGCCTCACGTACCTTCCTGGGCATGCTTGGCGCCCGCCAGCTAGAGATAGACCACTGGATCCCCCTATAGGCGTTGAGCAGAGTCTGCTGATGTTCATAGGGGAGGCCACCTGAGGGGAGGCACAGGGATTGGTCCTGTTGGCATGGTCCCTGATGCTACCGGCTGTCCCCTGGCCGGTATCGCCCACCTGCAGGTCCAGAGCAGTCCCCAAATGTTCTCTCGGGAACACGGTTCTGGCTGCTGCGGGGCTCCCCGTATGACTATAATTAGTAGTAGTGGTAGGTAGGTAGTGTGGGGTGATATTGAGAGAAGAATGTAGCTGCGTATGACTATAATTAGAAGTACTGGTAGGTAGGTAGTGTGAGGTGATATTGAGAGAAGAATGTAGCTTACTTTTTTACCGAGTATTTTGAAGTCGTAGAGCGATGCCTTATTTTTCTCTCTTCTTTTATTTTGGGGGGGGGGGGGGGGGGGGGGGGGATGCATTATGTCCCAGGCAATTTGATTCTTTTCCACCTTTCTCTGTTGAAGTCTCTTCTTGTTTTGCTTGTCTAATTTAAGCTTTTGTTTTTGGTTCTAGCTATCGATTGCTCCTGTTGGTGGCCAGCACCGCCTGCTTTTTTTTTTTGTCCTATGATGGATTGCTTAAATCTGCTTCTGTTAGTGGGCAGCAGCGTCTGCTTTGTGATTATGCAAACAGAGGGCCTTCACTCCGCTTCCGCATTCTTGCGGATCTTTGCTAGCATTGATCGCACTAGTAACCCCTCGGAAAGGGATTCAACCTGGGTGCCCTTTCAGCCACACACCCCCTTCATTATATAAGCTTCATACTGTGACCAGGCAAATTGTAGCTATACCAGTTGGAGAAGTATAGTATCAAGTATACAGGTCCTGACTATAACGTAGATGTCCGACAGAAAAAATTAAATAAAGAATAAAAAGATAAAGAGAGGAGAAAGAAGACAACCCCTATCCTGCCCCCCTCAAAAGGGCTATGGAAGTTGCAAGGTACGTGGGGAAGAACAAGAACCAGAAGACCCTACCTGCTAAAACACAGGGGTACGCAAATGTTGTGGAAGTCCAAGCAATCAGGATGATCTGCATACCCTGCGCTTTCTAATGATCTAGGGCAAATTGCAGAGATACCGGTTGGCAAACGTTTTGGTCCGCGCAGATATGGTGACAAACAAACACGTTTGTGAGCAGCCCAGCCTCTTTTGAGGGTTATCTACGCAGAAATACCGGTCAGTGACGTTTCAATTTCAAATACACCGTCTGGTGCCTGGTTTTGCAACAGAGGACCCGTGGCCTCGGAGCCCTTGTCTCAGGCCAGGCCGTTATCGTTCTCGTGCCCGGTCCCGCCCACTGCGCCCGACTGCCTCCGGCTCCCCCGGCTATTCTCTCTCTCTCTCTCTCTCTCTCTCTCTCTCTCTCTCTCTCTCTCTCTCTCTCTCTCTCTCTCTCTCTCTCTCTCTCT